TGAAAATAAGATGGACTCACATTCAATAAAAGATGGGTGCGTACAATAGAACTGATTGTACTTACTTTCTTTGCAAAAGCACGCAACTTCAGTTCCTGTTAAAATGAAGAATATAAAATATGCAAATCATTCCGACAGCAATAAAATTGAGATTTATCATCTGTCTTGTTTTAGACAAAACAACATTAATGGCAGCCTGAATTTCAGACAGCCACTTGTTGAGATGTCAATGAGTTGCCGTCTAAAATTCGGGCAACATTATGGTAGCCATACCTGTCCTTTTCGAAGTTTCACTATCAAGATATCTACGAAAAAATTATGCCTTTAGTTTTTTATGAAAGAGAGAAGACTATAGATATTATTTGTTTAATTTTTTAAGCATACCTTTCTCATCCCCTGCCTCATTATCATCTCTGGAAGTTGCCTGAAAATTTTATAAGACGTGGTTACTCGGTTATTTTATCCTATCGAAACGTATTCGTTTAATACTATATACACATGCAAAAATCTCACATCTTGTAGGAAGTCTGCCAACAAGCCGTGAACAAGTTGTGTTCGCACTGCTTGTCCCAAGTTGTCAACAAGTTTGAAACAAGCTGTTAACAACTTGTAACAACCTTGTTGATATTATCAAACTTGTTACAAAGTTGTTCCAACAAGTCCGATACAGCCATGATATAACAATACTGTTGCAACTTTGTGTCGTCAACCTTGTAACATTCTTGTAATATCATGACTGTATCAGACTTGTTAGAACGACCTTGTAACAAGTCTGATAATGCCATCAAGCTTGCTACAAGTTGTTAACAGCTTGTTCCAAACTTGTTACAATAACTGGGAACAAGCAGTGCGAACACAACTTGTCGACAGCTTGTGAACAGATTTGTAACAACTTGTTTGCAGACTTGTAACAACTTGTTTGCAGACCTGTAGCAACTAATAATTAATAAGTTTGTATAGACGTTCTCTGCTTTTTAAGGTTACAGGATACCCTTTTTGGCGTTTTGCGGAAAATCGCTACTGCGCGCTCAATATCAGTCCGATTTTCATCACATTTTCACCAAATGTTCTCCAGTGCATGCAAAATATGGTAAAGTTGTAAAATTAACAAACAATGGAATAATGTAAGAATTATTCAGGAAAATCTTAAATCGCTTTTGAGTTGTGCTCCTGATGGTTTTAAGTTATATTTATGAAAATATCATTTTTACACAGTAAAATAGTTGTTCTAAAAAATTGTGTTCGGAAATTTTTGTTTATTTCATCATTCCGCTGATATGGCGATTTCTTTGACGACTGCAATATATTTCTGAATTGTTTGAGTGAATTGCTCTTTATTTTTAGAATATCCAAAATTTAAAAAAAGCCGAACACAATTTTGAAACTGACGTATTTAGCTATGTCCTGTGAAAATTTGAGAAAAATTGGTTAAAACTCACAGGAGCACAACTCGTTTGAAAATCAATAATTACCGTAAAATTTTTCGGGAGAAAATTGAATATGAATATTACATTTTCAATGTTTTTCTTATTGCAGCGAAATGTATTTTACTAAATAACTCTGCGAGTTTTCAACATTTTTCGTTCAAACTTGGTCAGATAGTAGAACTAGTCTAATGCTTTCATTGAAACCAATAAAAAAATCTTAGGCAAAATGAACACTCAAAGGTGTTCTGTAACCTTAAATATTTAGTTATCTGGTTTTAAAACTAAGCAAGATATAAACAATTTTAAGAACTAATTTTGTATTGCCAATGTCCTTTAAACAAAGGAAAGCTATACTCACCGGAACGACTTGAGGATTTGAAGAAACAAGATCACGCGTGGTCACATGACGTGTCTGTTCATCTATACATTTTACATCCAATGTTAATCCGACCGAACATTCATCACAAAACTCTTCACAAGTACAGTCCTAATTAATACAACACCAATACATTTCAATTTAATTTTCTAATTTCACAATTTTATTTGGATCAATAATGCATGCAATATATTATCAATACAGTTACATAAGTGATAAAAGTTAATAAATGGACCATTTGCATTATAGACTAAATTTTGATCTAGACAAAAATTTCATCACAGCTTGAAAGAGCATCACAAAATTAGTAATATTCCAAAGTTTCGTTGCGAAATGTTGTAAATTGCGGATAATATAGCCTTGCGAAATTTGCAATTTTCAGTCATTTTGCATTACAAACGGGAAATTGATGCCCAACATCAGATTGGGCTGTCAATTTCCCGTGCGTAATACAAAATGACTGAAAAACGGCAAACTTCGCAAGGCTATATTATTATCCGCATTTTACAACATTTCGCAGCGAAACTTTGGAATATTACTAATTTTGTGGTGCTCTTTCAAGCTGTGATGAAATTTTTGTCTAGATCAAAATTTAGTCTATAATGCAAATGGTCCATTGAAGATCCAAAATGACAAGGTACGAACGCGACTCTTATACTCTCATGAATATTACAAATTCTTAAAAGTAAGAATGGATTAACGAGCAAGTTTTCTACGACAAGTTTTTATGTGACAAGTTTTACACACGCAAAAATCTCACATCTTGTAACAAGTCTGCCAACAAGCCGTCAACAAGATGTACTGTATGCGCATTGCTTGTTACAAGTTGTCAACAGATTTGGAACAACTTGTTCACAACTTGTAACAACCTTGTCGAAATTATCAGACTTGTTGCAAGGTTGTTCTGACAAGACCGTTACATGCTTGATATAACAAGATTGTTACAACCATGCATGTGTTGACAACCTTGTAACATCCTTGTTATATCATGGCTGTAACAAACTTGTTGGCACAGTCTTGTAACAAGGCTTGATAATGTCACCAAGCTTGTTACAAGTTATTAACATGATGCTTGTGATGTTACTATGAGTGTATATCCACACCGGGCGAGCTTGAAAAATATGCCCGGCCACGGTGGGAATCGAACCTACGACCTCCCTGGCCGGGCATATTTTTCAAGCTCGCCCGGTGTGGATATACACTCAGAGTAATATCACAAACATCATATTATTCACCTGAGTACACAACACCAACACAGAAAGTTGTTAACAGCTTGTTCCAACAAACTGGGAACAAGCAGTGCGAACACAACTTGTTGACAGCTTGTGAACAGATTTGTAACAACTTGTTTGCAGACTTGTTACAAGCTGTGCGTTTTTACGCCTGTATTTGCCAAGTGCATGTGTGTATATTTAATAATTATTTATGATAAGTTTTCATATGATAAGTTTTCATATGACAAGTTTTATTTACTGGTGTGAACGTGTCAACAAGTTTACTTTGACAATTTATTAGTAGCCAGCTGGCCAATCACATCAAATGCTCAGATTACTTTGACAAGTTTTCTTTGCTGAACCATACAGACGAACAAAATTTTTACTTTGACAATTTTTTCTATGACAAGTGCACTTGTTCAAAAGCTAGCATGCTAGCCGCTACTGAACAAGTGCACTTGTCATAGAAAAAATTGTCAAAGTTGCGCGTACAGACGAGCAAATAAAACTTGTCACATAAAAATCTGTCATAGAAAACTTGCTCGTCTGCAACTGGCTTAAGAGAAGGTAAATGTCAAGAATTACTATACCGCACGGCTGGTCATGGTGATCAACTAGCAGTAAAATCAGAGCGAGGAAATAATGCAGTTTCCTTTCATGATAGACACCAGTGATCTTTTATTTGGAGGAGCTATAAATAGTGGTTCGTATTTATTTCGGTATTTGAGAAATCGAAAACAATACAGTGTAGACAATACAAAACTAACCCTGCAATATCCCAAACCATCAACAAAATCATCACTCGTTAAAGGAATCAAACCTAGAAAGATTTGAAAGTATTACTAAGTGTAAATATTCAATGGATAACAACTTGTCAACAAGATATTTCCTCAACAGGTTTCTAGCAAGCTTCTTAATTAACAAGTTGTGAAAATGCTGTTCAAACAACTTGCCAACAAGATGTCTCCTCAACAGGCTTGTAGCAAGCTTGTTAACAAGTTGTGACAATGCTGTTCCAACAACTTGTCCACAAGATATTTCCTCAACAGGCATGTAGCAAGCTTGTTAACAAGTTGTGACAAATCTGTTCAAACAACTTGTCAACAAGATATTTCCTCAACGGACTTGTAGCAAGCTTGTTAACAAGTTGTGAAAATGCTGTTCCAACAACTTGTCAACAAGATATATCCTCAACGGACTTGTAGCAAGCTTGTTAACAAGTTGTGACAACGCTGTTCCAACAACTTGTCAACAAGATATTTCCTCAACGGACTTGTAGCAAGCTTGTTAAAACAAGTTTGGAGAATGCTGTTCCAACAACTTGTCAACAAGATATTTCCTCAACAGGCTTGTAGCAAGCTTGTTAACAAGTTTTGACAATTGCTGTTCCAACAACTTGTCAACAAGATATTTCCTCAACAGGCTTGTAGCAAGCTTGTTAACAAGTTTTGACAATGCTGTTCCAAAAACTTGTCAACAAGATATTTCCTCAACGAGCTTGTAGCAAGCTTGTTAACAAGTTTTGACAATTGCTGTTCCAACAACTTGTCAACAAGATATTTCCTCAACAGGCATGTAGCAAGCTTGTTAACAAGTTTGGAGAATGCTGTTCCAACAACTTGTCAACAAGATATTTCCTCAACAAGCTTGTAGCAAGCTTGTTAAAACAAGTTTGGAGAATGCTGTTCCAACAACTTGTCAACAAGATATTTCCTCAACAGGCTTGTAGCAAGCTTGCTAACAAGTTTTGACAATTGCTGTTCCAACAACTTGTCAACAAGATATTTCCTCAACAGGCTTGTAGCAAGCTTGTTAACAAGTTTTGACAATTGCTGTTCCAACAACTTGTCCACAAAATATTTCATCAACGGGCTTGCAGCAAGCTTGTTAACAAGTTGTGACAATGCTGTTCCAACAACTTGTCAACCAGATGTTTCCTCAACGAGCTTGTAGCAAGCTTGTTAACAAGTTTTGACAATGCTGTTCCAACAACTTGTCCACAAGATATTTCCTCAACAGGCTTGTAGCAAGCTTGTTAACAAGTTGTGACAATGCCGTTCCAATAACTTGTCAACAAGATATCTCCTCAACAGGCTTGTAGCAAGCTTGTTAACAAGTTGTGACAATGCTCTTCCAACAACTTGTCAACAAGATACTTCCTCAACAGGCTTCTAGCAAGCTTGTTAACAAGTTGTGACAATGCCGTTCCAATAACTTGTCAACAAGATATCTCCTCAACAGGCTTGTAGCAAGCTTGTTAACAAGTTGTGACAATACTGTTCCAACAACTTGTCAACAAGACATTCCCTCAACAGGCTTGTAGCAAGCTTGTTAACAAGTTTGGAGAATGCTGTTCCAACAACTTGTCAACAAGATATTTCCTCAACAGGCTTGTAGCAAGCTTCTTAACAAGTTTTGACAATGCTGTTCCAACAACTTATCAACAAGATATTTCCTCAACAGGCTTGTAGCAAGCTTGTTAACAAGTTGTGACAATGCTCTTCCAACAACTTGTCAACAAGATACTTCCTCAACAGGCTTGTAGCAAGCTTGTTAACAAGTTGTGACAATGCCGTTCCAATAACTTGTCAACAAGATATCTCCTCAACAGGCTTGTAGCAAGCTTGTTAACAAGTTGTGACAATACTGTTCCAACGACTTGTCAACAAGACATTTCCTCAACAGGCTAGTAGCAAGCTTGTTAACAAGTTTGGAGAATGCTGTTCCAACAACTTGTCAACAAGATATTTCCTCAACAGGCTTGTAGCAAGCTTGTTAACAAGTTTTGACAATGCTGTTCCAACAACTTGTCCACAAGATATTTCCTCAACAGGCTTGTAGCAAGCTTGTTAGCAAGTTGTAACAATGCCTTTCCAATAACTTGTCAACAAGATATCTCCTCAACAGGCTTGTAGCAAGCTTGTTAACAAGTTGTGACAATACTGTTCCAACAACTTGTCAACAAGATACTTCCTCAACAGGCTTGTAGCAAGCTTGTTAACAAGTTGTGACAATTGCTGCTCCAACAACTTGTCAACAAGATATTTCCTCAACAGGCTTGTAGCAAGCTTGTTAACAAGTTTTGACAATTGCTGTTCCAACAACTTGTCCACAAAATATTTCATCAACAGGCTTGTAGCAAGCTTGTTAACAAGTTGTGACAATGCTGTTCCAACAACTTGTCAACCAGATATTTCCTGAACAAGCTTGTAGCAAGCTTGTTAACAAGTTTTGACAATGCTGTTCCAACAACTTGTCCACAAGATATTTCCTCAACAGGCTTGTAGCAAGCTTGTTAACAAGTTGTGACAAATCTGTTCAAACAACTTGTCAACAAGATATTTCCTCAACGGACTTGTAGCAAGCTTGTTAACAAGTTGTGAAAATGCTGTTCCAACAACTTGTCAACAAGATATATCCTCAACGGACTTGTAGCAAGCTTGTTAACAAGTTGTGACAACGCTGTTCCAACAACTTGTCAACAAGATATTTCCTCAACGGACTTGTAGCAAGCTTGTTAAAAATTTGTGACAACGCTGTTCCAACAACTTGTCAACAAGATATTTCCTCAACAGGCATGTAGCAAGCTTGTTAACAAGTTTGGAGAATGCTGTTCCAACAACTTGTCAACAACATATTTCCTCAACAGGCTTGTAGCAAGCTTGTTAAAACAAGTTTGGAGAATGCTGTTCCAACAACTTGTCAACAAGATATTTCCTCAACAGGCTTGTAGCAAGCTTGTTAACAAGTTTTGACAATTGCTGTTCCAACAACTTGTCAACAAGATATTTCCTCAACAGGCTTGTAGCAATCTTGTTAACAAGTTTTGACAATTGCTGTTCCAACAACTTGTCCACAAAATATTTCATCAACGGGCTTGCAGCAAGCTTGTTAACAAGTTGTGACAATGCTGTTCCAACAACTTGTCAACCAGATGTTTCCTCAACGAGCTTGTAGCAAGCTTATTAACAAGTTTTGACAATGCTGTTCCAACAACTTGTCCACAAGATATTTCCTCAACAGGCTTGTAGCAAGCTTGTTAACAAGTTGTGACAATGCCGTTCCAATAACTTGTCAACAAGATATCTCCTCAACAGGCTTGTAGCAAGCTTGTTAACAAGTTGTGACAATACTGTTCCAACAACTTGTCAACATGACATTCCCTCAACAGGCTTGTAGCAAGCTTGTTAACAACTTTGGAGAATGCTGTTCCAACAACTTGTCAAAAAGATATCTCCTCAACAAGCTTGTAGCAAGCTTGTTAACAAGTTGTGACAATGCTCTTCCAACAACTTATCAACAAGATACTTCCTCAACAGGCTTGTAGCAAGCTTGTTAACAAGTTGTGACAATGCTCTTCCAACAACTTGTCAACAAGATACTTCCTCAACAGGCTTGTAGCAAGCTTGTTAACAAGTTGTGACAATGCCGTTCCAATAACTTGTCAACAAGATATCTCCTCAACAGGCTTGTAGCAAGCTTCTTAACAAGTTTTGACAATGCTGTTCCAACAACTTATCAACAAGATACTTCCTCAACAGGCTTGTAGCAAGCTTGTTAACAAGTTGTGACAATACTGTTCCAACAACTTGTCAACAAGACATTTCCTCAACAGGCTTGTAGCAAGCTTGTTAACAAGTTTGGAGAATGCTGTTCCAACAACTTGTCAACAAGGTATTTCCTCAACAGGCTCTTAGCAAGCTTGTTAACAAGTTTTGACAATGCTGTTCCAACAACTTGTCCACAAGATATTTCCTCAACAGGCTTGTAGCAAGCTTGTTAACAAGTTGTGACAATGCCTTTCCAATAACTTGTCAACAAGATATCTCCTCAACAGGCTTGTAGCAAGCTTGTTAACAAGTTGTGACAATACTGTTCCAACAACTTGTCAACAAGATACTTCCTCAAAAGGCTTGTAGCAAGCTTGTTAACAAGTTGTGACAATGCCGTTCCAATAACTTGTCAACAAGATATCTCCTCAACAGGCTTGTAGCAAGCTTGTTAACAAGTTTTGACAATTGCTGTTCCAACAACTTGTCCACAAAATATTTCATCAACGGGCTTGTAGCAAGCTTGTTAACAAGTTGTGACAAAGCTGTTCCAAAAACTTGTCAACAAGATATTTCCTCAACGAGCTTGTAGCAAGCTTGTTAACAAGTTTTGACAATGCTGTTCCAACAACTTGTGAACAAGATATTTCCTCAACGGGCTTGTAGCAAGCTTGTTAACAAGTTGTGACAATGCTGTTCCAACAACTTGTGAACAAGATATTTCCTCAACGGGCTTGTAGCAAGCTTGTTAACAAGATGTGACGGTGCTGTTCCAAAAACTTGTCAACAAGATATCTGGTCAACGGGCTTGTAGCAAGCTTGTTAACAAGTTGTGACAATGCTGTTCCAACAACTTGTCAACAAGATATTTCCTCAACCAGCTTGTAGCAAGCTTGTTAACAAGTTTTGACAATGCTGTTCCAACAACTTGTCCACAAGATATTTCCTCAACAGGCTTGTAGCCAGCTTGTTAACAAGTGGAGACAATGCTGTTCCAACAACTTGTCAACAAGATATTTCCTAAAACAGGCTTGTAGCAAGCATGTTAACAAGTTTTGACAATACTGTTCCAATAACTTGTCAACAAGATATTTCCTCAATGGGCTTGTAGCAATTAGGTTGTTAACAAGTGGTGACAATGCTGTTCCAACAACTCGTCAACAAGATATTTCCTCAACGGACTTGTAGCAAGCTTCTTAACAAGTTTTGACAATGCTGTTCCAACAACTTATCAACAAGATATTTCCTCAACAGGCTTGTAGCAAGCTTGTTTACAAGTTGTGACAATGCTCTTCCAACAACTTGTCAACAAGATACTTCCTCA